TCATCAAAACCCCACCCAACCCTCGAAGACTTCCACAAGGCAGCAAAGAAATGGTGCGACGACCACATCCGCGCTGATGCTCCCAACCCTACTCTCCAGCTCCCACCCGACCCTCATAACATGCCCATCATGCCGCCTCTCACCGCCGATTACACGTTCAAGCTGCCCAACCCCGACAAGAAGAAGCCTGACATCTCTCTCCCTGTGACCTTTGAGATTCGCGGGTGGGCGCCTATCCAGCGGGATTATTGTTACCTTGGATTCGGCATGCCGAACAGCTGGAACGGTGGGAGTGGGAAGGACGAGGAGCAGGAGCAAATTGGTAAAGGTAATATATGTACGGGACCAGGTGGGAAGACGTTGGTTCAGGGTTGGAATCAGACTTATTGGTGGAATCATCATGGTGTTGTCTTCAAGGGAAAGTAGGAAGAGGGTATGTCGTCATAGTAGTCATCTCATCATAGTAGTCATCTTGTCAAAGTAGTCATCCCGTCACAGCAGTCATCTAAAACATGCGTTTTTAAACGTTTTGTATTAATTATCTACTATGGTTTGTCGAATACGTCTCAGCGACACCGTGTGATTTCGCTGCCATCAACATGCCCGGGAGGTCGTCCTGGAAACCTGTAATCACATTCGACCAGTTACAGCGCTGTCATGCGTATACATCCTCTCTTCACCGGCTCCTCCATCTACCACAAACCAGTATAAAGTCTCCAAACCCTACCATCCTCCTCTATGCGGCTTGCGAAAACACTTCGTAGTCGGCTAGGGCTTCGGGGGCATGAAGGGCGGAGGCTCGAGCGACTGCGGGACATGGTGGTGTTCCTCCAAGATCTCTTTGGGGAAACCGCTGTCGCTATGCGCCAAGGTGCAGTTGACGATGCGACATGTACCGGCGGCGAAGTTCTTGCATTTCATGCGCTTGCAGTCCTTGTCGAGGAACTGGCAGGGCCAGCAGGTGGAGGCTCCGTCGCAATGTTTGGTCGTCTTGGAGCGGTAGCACTCAATGCACACCGCTACAGTTGATGGCTTGAGCTTCTTGGGACGCTTGGCCGGGCTACTGTTGTAAGGTCAGTGATCTGTCTTCTTTGTAGCGATGGTGATCGACTTACTTGTCAGCCTCATGTCCGCGCTTTTGGGACAGCTTCACCGCGCTCTTGGTGTGTGACTTGCGGCGTGAGGCGGAGGAGACGAAGGCGTGGTGATCAGCCGACTCTTCCGCCTTCAGCTTGACCCTTGAGTCCGCTAGTTCCTGGTCGAGATTGCCGAAATCCCGCTGGTCTTTCTCGCTGTTCAACATCTCGTTCTTCTGCTCGAGAGCTTGAAGTTGAAGGTCTTGCTCGGCCATCGCGTCTTGCATCTGAACTTTTCCAGCCCAAAGTGTCGCGATCTGACCACTGAGCTCTCGGTCGTGGGCAACGGCGTCGTCTTGAATCCGAGCATTTTCAGCCGACAGTGATGCGACTTGGTCGCTGAGCTCTCGGTTGCGGGCGAGAACCCCTGCAAGGACCGTGACGATGAGGTTTGGGTGCTTTCGTGCGGTCAAAGGAGCCATTTCCCAAATGGTTTTGTGATGTAACCTTGGAATGTTGGTAGCAGATGTGGCAGTGAAGGTCGATCAATATGGCCAGTTTGAGTGCGGGCAATCAGGCGAAATCGGCGCTATATCTCCGCGTCACGGGAATCACAGTGACTCAGAGTATCAGACTCCTTCTCCAGTTTTCTATATGTACATTCCTCCTTCACCTCGTCGTCACTAATCCCCGCGAATGACCCATGCACGGACGTCACGTGCGTCTTAGCGCGCCAAGCGCTTGGCGGGCTCTGGTATCCATATCAGCTCGGTATGCCCCTCCAATTTGCTCTTTTCTTCTCCAACTGTTTTTACTGCCTTCTCAACTGCTCATCGGCTTGGGCTCACTTTAAGGGATTCTCTTACTGATGAGTCACTTCGAATGTCACATATCAAGGTTTCACGGGATCTTGAGTGCTTCGTTGTGCTGGGGGCATGTGCGAGGAACTGACCAAGCTTCTTGGAACGTTCGCCAGAGATTCATACTTCGACTCGGGTCTGACAGCCCGATCGGAGTCTCGACCCGCAGTGCAGTTCATTTCTCAGGTTAGTTTTCACGGGAACTTACACGCCTGAATTGGTGGGCAAGTCTGATGTGCGGTTTGTCGTTTGTTCGCAAGCGATGAGTTGATACACTGGCTTGTTCATCTCCGGTCGCCTGCAGCTCTGGTGTCAGTCATGAGTATGCATCGCGGGATGGAACATTTTCATTGAGCACCTTTCCCTTGTGGAGAGGCTTGAGGAAGATGTTTACTTTTCATTTGTTGTGTGAACCAGCTTTATTGTTTTTGAGACGCGAAGCGAGCTGATGCTATAGGTATGCTTTGTCGGTATTGGCAGACCATGGACAGCCGCTATCAAGGCGTCTCCTTCACACCATCAACATAAACCTCCACCCTCTCGTTATAGAAGCACATGTGTCCAGCAATGGGCGCGCTCTCCGCAGTCGGGTATCTATAGTACCATACGAGATCCCGGTATAGCTTGCCTCCAACACTGACGTTGTAGTACTCCGCGCGACCCTTGTACGGGCACAAAGTCAGCGTGTCGCTCGGTGTGAGGTATTCCCAGTTGACGCTCGTCGGCGGCAAATAATGCCTCGTCCTCAGCGTCGTTTCCAAAATAAACAGTGCGTTTGCGCTTTCAGCAAGTGTGACACCGTCGATAGCCACCCTGACGTTTCGGGAAGATGGTAGAATGTCGATGCGCTTGTATGGGTCTTTGGGATGACCATATATCTCCATGTCTTCTTCAAACCACTGATCAATAGCACGGAAGTCGACTTTTACGAGATCCTTGAGCTTGCCGGTGTTGAAGATGAGGATGCGATTGCTACTGCGATTGCCGACTGTGAGACTCGCTAGGTGTGCGCCGCCATCTGTCCCGTCCACAGCGGAGCCTCGGGATAGTTTGGCGTGGGGGGTGAAGCTTGAGATCGGCACGAAATACCTGGTATATTCAGCATAATAAAGGTGTCCCGATGAGGAGACTACTCATACTGTGGGTAGCGCAACTCCAGTTCCCAAACATGATGCGCGTTCAGAGTGTCAAACGCATACTTTCCATTGAGAATACCTCGTACACGACGTGCCGTATGCTCTATCCTGCATGGCCCATCGCGAACGAGTCTCTGTGCTAGTCGTACTAGACTGCGCTTGTCAGCTGATCATTACTAGGCATGATGGAGAGCTGGTTAGGACGCAACTCGCTAGTGTTTGCCATCCTGGGTGTCTTCTGTGTCAACTTGGATTTGCGATAAGATTTGGAGATGAACTAATCTCGAACGATGTTGAGGAAATGTCGTGTGCACATAGGAAGGAAGACGTCAAATGGTGATGATGTAGGCTACCTTAGTACCGGAAGCGGGGCCGTCCTGATTGGTAGGAATAGCCGGAAGCTTACCAACCACACAACCACACAACCACACAACCACAATGAAGACACCATCTCTACTAATCACAAAGTTACAGTCTACAACCACGTACATGGTATCTTTTCGTACATTCAGAGCCTCCCCAGGAGGATCTCAGCGGATTTCTATCGCAAGATACCTACTCCAAACGTCGCCGCGGCATACAATATGTCGTTCCTCCACGATCGACGACTAGGCGATACTTCGGCCTGACGGTCTACAGAAGATATCGTGAGTGCGATGAGGCGCCCTGTCATCCCTGAAGCCGTCGCGCCTGATCGCCACAAGCGATGCTTGTCCTTACGACAAAACTGACTCCATAGCTTCAACATCCTGCGCCGCTACTCTGGTTCCATCGGCGAGATACGCGTATGCGATGGCAACAGCAGACTTCTTGGCCTTCTTGTCCTCACCCTTTGTCTCGTCGTCTTTCGGATGCTCTCCAGCTGCTCTCTTTTTCTTGTCGTCTTTCTGGTACTCTCCCGCTGCCATCCTTGCCGCCACTTGCGCCTTCGCTATCGCCATCTGCTCGGCGACCAAGCGGTCTAGCTCCCTTTCCCATTCTGGAGTTCCCCTTGCTACCAACCGCATCTCTTCCAGGCTGTTACGTTCTGGTTCCTTGTCCGATGTTCTCTCCTCCAATACCGCGTCCTTCATTACCTTATCTGGGCCCTTCTCATCCGCTCCACTGTCTGCCTCGCTCTCCTTAGCCACGTCGCTGAAGTGAAGACGGTCGCAGAGCGGCTCGCAGCGCTCTCCAATCTCCTTAGCCGCAAAGCCGCAGCGACGGCGAACGCATTCGGTCTCGTTTTTGTAGCATTCGGTGCAAGGGTCGAGGTTGTCGCACGGGAGGTCGTTGGCGCGACATTTTACGCACTTGATGACACGGTTGTAACCGACTCGGAGGACGGGCATGGAAGCAGTAGGAGGTTCATCTTCGTCGGGCAGGCTGCCTGTCGCTGAAGTGCCTTCCACTATCGCCGGCGGCGATTGCTCCTCCTCGCGAAGCATCTGGTCGCCTGCCTGCGAATCCTCGGTATGGGCGGGCGATGACATGGACGACTGGCTTCAAGGCTTGTCAGCGCTGTGAACTAATTCAGTACAAAATGGAAGGCGTCGACGTACGCTGGATCTACCACAGGGTCGCTCTGGACCGCAGTGATATCGGGATTCTGCGCCAACTCGCTCATGACTGTTGTGGTTTGATAGTCGCGCGGAGTGTCGAGACGTAGGGAAGGGAAGATCAGTGAGCGATAGTGCTGTGGAGACGCAATCTTCGTGTCTCGCTTGATTCAAACGAAGCTCTCTTTGCACAGCAGGCTAGCGGCAATGCGTCATTTCTTGGAGAACTCCCCTAGGCAACACACGCGGTGACACACCGCACGAGCGAGAGAAGGCTAGTAGCGCTTGGACCTTTTCTGGCTACTTATCTGCCTTGCGACAACTGTTCATTACTCCTACATCACTTTTCGCAACTTCATTATTTCGACTTCGAACAGGATCACAGTGACCATGACCCGTTCCCGCTCCCCCGCACGCGCTCGTTCGGCTTCGCCACGTCGTTCGCCATCCGCTTCACCAGTTCAGCCTAGTTCCCCGCACTCCGATGCCTACGAGGGTGAGGACTACGACGGCGAAGACTACGATGACTACGATGACTACGACGACGACGAGTCGGGTGCTCAAGATCGTGAGCTCACGCACGAGGAGAAGGTCCGCCGTTGCCTCGCCGACTCGCCCTCCCCAACGGGTTCCCCGATGCGTCAAGATCAGTAAGTATTCCCCACAAATTTCTACATCGTAAGGTCGTGTCTGACTCTATAGCTCACCCCTGACCATCGACGAGTGGAAGGCCAAGTCAGAGGAGTCCGATCGTAAAGCTGGCGTTGAGTATGTCCGTCACAGCCAGACCAAGGAGTTGTTCCGCGTCGACCGTAGGGAGAAAGAGTCCATGGGCAACTACATCACCACACTTGAGGCTGAGGCCGCCAAGGTCAAGACACTTGAAGCTCAGGTCGCCAGGCTCAAGGAGCAAATGGCCAGTATGCAGGCTGAGAAGGACAAGAAGATCCTTGCTCTCGAGTCTGGGTTCAAGGCCCTCGGCTTGGACACCCAGGCCACCGCTACTCCGTATGTTCATCTTCTTTTATGTTATGGGATGACTTCGCTAATAGGCTAGGGCGCCCACCATCGCTAAGTGTGGTTTGTACGACAAGCCTCGTGCTCATTGTCGTCCGGGCTGCACTCGTATGCACGTAGATGACGAGGTCAAGGTCGCCAAGACTGGGGAGAAGGTCGAGATGATGGAGTACAAGTGACCGCGTGTGTATATACAGGGCATTTTGGAACTACAGAGGGCAGGATGATGTACTGATGTTGCCGCCTGGCCGCAACAAGGTCGTCACAAATACATACAAATCCTAGTATGTATCCATAAGAGATTGCGCTCGACCTCAACATATGCTACTCTTGAATGAATGTCCTCCACATAATGTGTCATGTGAGGTAAAGTAACATAGAGATTTCGTGCGTTTTGATAGCTTTTCTTTAGACCCACGTACTTTGAGACACAAGTAGATGGTCTCACACATATACCAGTAGTCATCCCGTCACCTCACGTCGTGTCGCAGCTACTAGACATCTCTTTCACAACTCGTGTCAATTACGTCACACCTGTCGTTGAGACGGATACCGATCCCATTCCTGCCCTATCCCACTCTTCTATCCGTTCAACCGAGGTCGCCATGCGTCCGAGTACAGTCGCTGTCGCCCCCATTGCAATCGCAATCGGCGAGCAAGGTACCAGGTAAGCCGCTGATATTTCACACCGGTGAATGTATACGCCAACACGAGCGCCGTAGTAGCTTCGGTGATGGCTATTCGAGCTCATACAACCGCGTCATCAAGTGCAAGCACTGTGCTTCCAATGGTCTGCCCTGCGATAGCACTCGCGACAGATGCGCCGAGTGCACTCGCAACGGCGCTGTATGTACACGTGCTCGTTGCCACTTGTTCATTCGTCCTGCAGCATCTTGCTATGGCGGTGCATGCGGACGTCTCCACAAGGATGATTGAGACTCGAGTGGAACGCATTGTTGCTTCTACGTGGACTGGATACATCGAAGGATGAGACGGACGGTGAATGTATAATCCAGGCTGCATTCCAGAGTGTTGGTGAACAGATGAGAGATAGCGACGATACCTAGGGAGCATAAACGGCGTTCACGGCAGGAAACTGCCTAACTTAGTTTGTTCTGTCATACAATCTCCATCATATGCGTTTGATCTCTTATTGCTGTGAAGTTCATTATGCGAGGCACGGTGTTACTTCCAACGAGGAAAGAAGTTGAGTACGTGATGTGAGACCGTATGCAGGGCGTTGATGACTTGGAGTCCGTAGTTGCGAGAAAGCCGAACCCATTCTTGCATTGTCCGACTTTGCTATGCGCCTGCACCCTCCCATACCTATCAATTGAATGACGACTGGGGTCGGGAATCTGGAGCCTATCACATGTATCTCTGTGCCAAGGTGTGATGGATCGTCAATGAAAAAAGGAGAATGTATTGCTGTACGGCGCAGCTGATGCACTGGAGTCGCCTTCCCGTTGCGTGTATATTCCAGCTTATAAGCCGGCGAATATCCGGAAAGCTATACATATGGCCACATCCTATTGCTGTTTTTCGCAGTTGCTGGCGGGGCTGTTCATATAAAGAGATGGAAAGGAGCCTCCACATTATTCGACATCATTGACGGAACCTAGAAGGTTGCCTAGAGAGCAATGGCCGGGTGAACCACGGATCGCAGATCGAGATGAAGATTCGTTATGGTCAGTGCTGTCGGAGCGCGCCAGCCTTGCAAGTGCAGCGAATGGAGCAATAGTCTCTCCGCCCAGCTACCGTCCGAAAAGCAAACACTAGTCATGTAAAGCCAAGACATATCCCGGCGTGATTCCGATATCTGTAGTGCTAACTGCTTCGAGGCCTGTCTGTTAAACGCGAAACAATCCGGAGCGGCTGGATGGCGCGACGCCTTGGCAGGGGAACCGAGGGGGAGATTGCAGCTGCAACGCCACATGGTCAGCATTGAGGTGCGGAATCCAGCGGCAATTTGGGCATCGCATTCTGTACTGGCAGGCATGGTGCAAATGCTGTGTTGCGAGAGCATGGAGTGTTGGGGTGAAGATGGCAGGCCTGACTACTTCGAGTGCCGTCAATCTCCGCCGTGCTTCCGACTCGCAGCAAGCGGCATGAACCCCATCCCTCCAGCATCACCGGTGCATCACACCACAACAGGAAAAAAACTGTGCGCTGTCCCACTTCGTATATGCATCCTCAGGCCATTTTACGTTCATGTCATGCCGTGCTGACTGCAACAGACACCACCGCTTGAAGTTGTAGAATCTACAAAGATCCGCAATGTTGCCTGCATCGTGGTCTAGAACTGCGAAAACTGTTCCTTTTCTCGTGGATTTTCTTTGATTCTGTCGATTGACCCGAGCTGCAGGCTCTGTCACGGCAGTGGCAATGCTCGTTTGCGTAGGGCGTAGTTCCTTTTCCTCCTCGAGGTGGCGCGCGCCGTCTCTCGGTTCCTGCAGCCACCAGCAAACTATCATCACTCAACCCCGCTGCTGTCTTTGCACGGCACACTCGGCATAGGTAATGGCCAAGTACGCCTTCGCACTCTTCGCGAGGCCAATATACTTGGCCTTCGTATCTTGGAGGATGTCTTTCGTTGCGTTGAGCCTGAGGCGCGGACTAGAATTGCAGCAAACTTGGTTGTTTCAGCCGAGCCCGAACCAAATTCAGTGCGCGGAGAGTTTCTAGAGCTGTACCTTACAGACCGTGAACGTCATAGCAATAACCTACGCGATCAACGCCGCAGCACAAACATCGCAAAGGAACGGGGGGCGCACCGTTGACCGGTCGTAACAGCGTATACCCACCATGAGTAGCGATGATTACCATACAATGGGACGCCGTGCTCCACAAACGCCTAGAAAACGATGTATCGAGTTCAGGGGTCGCCATGTCCTAGCCGCTCCCCGAGCCGAATAGTAAGCCGACCTATCCTTGATACAGCACAAGCGCTCCGGTGATCTACCAACGCCCAGGTTCTGCTGACCCGAAATAGACCGTGTGGCCCTACTATAGTAGAAGCGACAGGGCTGCTGCGCGAAGACGTGCATGCCGAGGCCACTAGACTAATCTCGCTCGTGTCAGGTCTCGCGCCGCTGCGTCGGGGAGAAAGATATATCTAGGGAGAGTCTGCGCCTGGGAAGATCTTCACGAGTTATCGCCTGTCACTCATCGCCCTTACCGTCAACTCGGGGTGCAGAGACTCATCACTCTTGGAAGTCATAGACTTCCGTACATTCGCTTTTACAACACACTCGCTTTACTACGCTTAACATGCGTGTTACTACTCTAATAGGCCTTATGGCCGGACTCGCCAGCCAGGCTGTTAACGCAGCCTGCAGCGCACCCCTCAAGATCGACGACTTCTCCAAGCAAACTTCCAACCAGAACAGCTTGGGCGAGTGGACCAGTGGTAGGTCTTGTTGAAGCCCTGCACAAGGAGGAAGGCTAACCAGCGCAGATGATGGATCCATGTCCTCGATCTCGGCCAGCGGCGGTGTCCTGTCTTTCAAGCCTAAGTCAGGATCCTACTTTTACGAGACCTTCCCTTGCCAGGCAGCCAGCTCCAATGGATACAACTCCATCAGCTTCCAGATGAAGGGACCTGCCGGTGGCTCCGCGACCCTCGAGATCCAGACCAAGACCAGCTGTTCGGCTTCGACGTACTCTTCTAAGTACGTTTCGATCTCTGGATTGACTGGCAGCACTCAGACCATCAACATCCCTCTGTCTCAGTTCTCCGGTGCCAACGCCAATGCTGTTACCGGTTTTGTTTGGGCTGGATTCTCTTCCACCACCGACACATGGCAGATGAGCAACATCGCCTTTGGTTGCAGCAGCAGTGCTGGTGGCAGCACCTCCGTCTCCGCAACTAGGGTAGCTACCACCTCGAGCTCCTCAGTCCGCAGCACCATGACAACCATCTCGTCTCCCACAGCCTCAGCTGGAACCTGCTCTCCTTTGTTGATCGATGACTGGATTTCTCAATCTCGTTTGACTTTCTTGTTCTACAACGCCATGGGATACCCTACCTCTGATGATGCTTCCATGACTTCCATCACCGTTGGAAAGCCGTCCACTAATCACGTCGAGTTCGTTCCCAAGGCCGACTCGTACTTCTACACCCAATTCCCTTGCGTCAACGCGAAGAACAAGTACACCGGTATTTCTCTTCGCATCAAGGCCCCCAAGGGCGCAACCCTGTCCGTGCAGCTCGACTCCTCGGACAACTGTGACGCGACCAACCCTAAGTCCACCTACGCATCCGCAACTGACCTTGGATGGACTTTCGATGGAACTGAGAAGCTGTACACCATTCCCTTCAGCAAGTTCGCCGGCCTCAACACCGAGAAGCTTACCACTATCCTCTTTTCCGGATTCTCTGGTACCACTTCCTTCGGTCCTATGGCCTTCTACTGCGGCAACTCTGGAGAATACGTTGTACCTCCTACCTCTGCCGACCCCGGCGCCTCTGCTACCGTTCCCGCTCCTAGCAACCCGTCGGCTACCGGCCTTGTGATTGACAAGTTCGCTAACGCCAACACCAACGCCATGGGCAACTGGCACGGTGGTGACGAGGGCATGTCTCTTCAGTACGCTGGCGGCAAGCTCACCATCAAGTCCCCCGACGCCGACTACTCCTACTACACCCAGGTATCTGGCGGTTGTGCCGACTTCACCAAATACAAGGGATCTTACCTCCACATCGCTTACACCGGTACCACTGCCTTCACTGTCGCTTTCCAACAGCACAACAGCCAGTGCAACACCGCGATCGCTCCCTTCCCCGAGACTTGGGATTCCGCTGAGGCCGGCCGCTACGCCAAGAACGGACACATCTACATCCCCATCAGCCACTTCAACATCAACCTCTCGCGCGTCGTCGGCTTCGCGCTCAAGGGTTTCCACAGCAGCGAGTCCGTCACTCTCTCCGTTATCGAGATCGTCTCCTCTGTTCCCGCTGGTACTACCATTCCCAAGAAGGACGAAACTGGTGACCTAGTCTTCGCTTGCAAGCGCCCCAACTCCTTCGCCTTCGCCATCGACGACGGTCAACCCGACCTCGCTCAGGAAGTCCTTAAGATTATCCGCGAGGAGGACGTCAAGGTGACCTTCTTCACCGTCGGCGCTCCCCTTCTCGACGCCTCCACCAACCTGACCAACGTCTACAAGGAGATGATGTCCGCAGGCCACCAGCTCGCCCTCCACTCCTTCACCCACCCTAAGATGGAAGGTCTCCCCGACTACGCATCCATCGACTGGGAGTACAACGAGGACGTCAAGGCCATGAAGTCGCAATTCAACGGCTTGACCTCCACCTACTTCCGTCCTCCCTTCGGTACCGAGGGTGCCCGCATGCGCTCGCGTCTCACAAAGGCCGTCGGCAACACCGCCAAGATTGTCAACTGGAGCGTCGATGTCGAGGACTGGTTGTGGGCTGAGACCGACACCCCTGAGCAACAAAAGGTTGCTTTCCAGCGCGACGTCGACAAGGGTGGTAACCTTGTGGTTCTCCACTACCTCTACCCTAGCACTGTCAGCTACCTTCGGGAGTTCATTCAGATCGCCAAGGCTACTGGCAAGCAGCTTATGCGTGTCGATCAGTGCATGATGGACCCTAACGCTCCTCCGCTATAGATCCGAGCATGTAGTGTCAGTTGGGTTGATGAGAGGATGATACCCGAAGGTGCGAGTTGTTGTAGAATAGAGACTCGTTTAGCATATCTTGTTAATCGTAATTACGTCTCTCAGAACCACCTATTTGAGCATCCAGTGCATTGTGACCATCTTGTCTTCCTGATCTACCGCAGAATGAACGATGGCTGTCGACTTAACGGCCCTTCCACGCCAACACACTGTGCTAGATCAAAGCTTGGAACCATCTCGGGAGAAAACGATTGTGTTGAGGGCCGATAAGCGGCAGGATGGTCACAATGCTTATCCTTTTGCCATAAGCACCTTATTATGGTAGGCCCGATGGTCGCGAAGCTACGTCTCAGGTTCTGTGAGTAATCACTCAAACAAATCAAAGTTTGTTCGAGCGATTAGTAAACCATTCTGACACATCTTGACAGCTCTACAGCCAATATACTTTGCATGATTAGTATCTTCGTGACCCCGTCGGTCGGCGCGCGGGCATCTACTGTACTCCCAGGTTTGGCCATGCATATTGCGATTCCCGCTATAACAAAAGTTGCAAGCGTTGGAATGCATTAACTCAAAAGCGATTGTACGAAACCCGATGTCCAATGTACGACGGCCGGTCACGGGCTGTATGCTGGATGGTCCTGAGAAAGGACACAAATCGGTGACAGAATGCCGTCACTCTTAGCTGAAAACTTCTTAGTGCCAAAGCCACCGGAAGTCACGTGTCGTCAGCACAATCGCTGAGTGCAAGCGCATACCGCACTGTGCTTCCTACCTACGTTCTCGGCAGTCGCTGTTTCTTCCGAGGGCTTTCCATCGGCATGTGGTCAGCTTCTCGTGTTGGGGTATGCGGAGCCGCGTCTTCGGACCGTTGGCGGTGACGGCTTACCTTTCTATTTTCCCTATAGGCACGCACACGGCACAAGTTATAGTGCCTATTAAGCAAGAACAAATGAACTGTCTTTGTAAGCGCGCAACCTTAAAGGCTATCAGATTTCGTCTATCAATGCCTACCTAGGTACTTGTCCACGGGTTCGTCCAACACCACTCTGGTAAGCTTCTAGGATCCCACTCCCTCACCCTGGTTGCCTCAAATTCACCCTTCTCCTCCCTACGAAAGACAAACCCTGGCTTTCTCACATATCTCCCGAGATAGGCTTCCATGAACTCATACTCTTCCAGCTCAATCAGCAGCGGTAGCTGCTGATGGTCTAGCTCCAAATACAGATATCTCGTCAAATTCTTCAGGACCCACAACGACACAGCCCAGAGACCCGGTTTTGTAGTCTTGTAGTGGATGGCATGGTAGATCAGTGAGTCGAGGTAGGTCGTAAGATTCGGGACTAAAATAGGACTTGGGTGGCTTGCGCTTTTGCCGCGCGGTAAGCCAGGGAAAAAGATGGCAGGGGGATGCGCACCAGGAGGCGAATTTGGCACCTGCGTATCTGGATGCACACGGGGACCATACCACCATCCATTCTCTCGGTGCAGAGCTGGATGCCAGGTTTCTTCTACGAGTATAGGTTGCCAACAGTACACGTCGGGGACCTCGATAGTGATGCAGCTGTCTATGTCCAGATGGTATGCGGTGTCGGACCAAAGAGCTAAGTAGCGGATTTCGTCTTCGTTTTCGATGGATGTTTGCCGGAGAACGATATCGGCGTCGCAATTCGATACTGGGTCATTGCCCCAAATGTCTTCTGGATCTCGCTCGTTGATTTCCCATCTTTCCGTGGCTAAAAGATCCGATGCGACGGCTCTCAGCGTGTTGTGGCGGATGAGAATTTCGCATACATCTGTCATGGTTCCGGCAGACCCCATCCATCGCTGTGCCGCGCATCCAACGAGGAGGAAAGGATGTTGATGGGATGCCAGAACGTCCAGCACGTGGTCGAGGCTGCCCTCCTCGGATGCGACTGGCTTTGGCGCTATGTCGCCGGTAGTTTCTGTTTCGTTACGGTCCATCGCGTGATTACGTTGTGATGGAGTCGGTACAATTGGATATGGTGAGGACGATAGAAGAGGGATGAGTAAGTCGTACAATCTAAGTACATACCTAGGTATTCTTGTTCCATGGTAATCTGTGATTGAATGTGGCAAAGAACCGTGGAACCGAGGAGTCAGAACGCTGCGCTAAGATGCTAGCCAACCGATATGCTACGAAAGCGGGTAACTTTGTCACGTGGAACATATCACTGCCCAGGTGGCCTGCATGCACTTGACCGCAATCCTTTAGGATAGTACTCAAATTCTCAAGATTGCAGCGCGATATTCAGTATGTGTTTATAGATTGTTTAGGTCGTTGCTACTATACTGGATCATCCCAGCGAGTTGACGAACTCCACCTTAGTTCTTCCGTCAGTTGGCTGCATACGCCCCATCAGCTAATGCGCATAGCCGTTGAGACATTTCCTCCTCATGTCTCCGTCTCGTTCTCTACGCCCCATTTCCAGTTACAATCGCCTCCGATGTCCTGCGCTGGCGCTCATCCTCCGCTTTCCTGGCTTCTATCTGGATGTCCGCGATATCTTCGGGATGCTTCTGGATCTGCGACCTTATGATGCCGATCTGGGAACTGATGGTAATGGCCTGATTGGCGTGGAGATGAGTAATGGCCTCCAGCTTTTTTGTCGTGCGCGCGTGAGCGGCTTTCTCTTGTGCGAGCTCTGCTTCGAGGCGCGCGATTGGATCGACTGGGCTTTGGGGGAGGGACATGGTGGCGCTGAACTTAGGGCTGGCTGTTAGTGACATCGTTCCAATTGGGGGAGGGGGAGAGGAATACCTTGATTTGAGTCGTATGGAGAAGGTGCGGCTGGGTGGTCGCTGGCAAGAACGGACGCGGAAGACGTTAGATGGCAAAGGTGATGGCGGAGGAGAGTGGAATCTGGTTTTGAGTTATCAAGGCGCGACCTAACTCTCTTTCACTTTCACTGGCTGTTGTTTGTTGTTTGCTCGCTTGCGCGTAGGGCCGCACAAGTGAAGGTGCGCCCAGTACGAAATACTCGTGGCCCGTCTGAGCTGCAACACTGAACAGCCACCACCGAACCTCGCCGCGCAGTCACACAATTGGCTGCATCAGCACAGCTAACTCTCCTCCAGTTGCCGATCATGGCTGAGCGCGATGCCCTCGTAACGCCATCAAGCCGGCACGTGTTACCGAGACATATGGAAGACGCTGGCACGAACAACCCGCCGACCATACGCAAGGATAACGAGCCGGCAGCACGCGAGAGCTGCTTACCGGAGGAGTACAGATCGTTTGTGGCGCATTCAAAGGAGAAGGACCTTATGAGAAAAGAAGCGCAGGAAAAGCTAGAGAGGATGAAGTTGGACCACGAGAAAGATATGTGGCACCTAAAGCTTGCATTCCGTATCCAGGTCGATGATCTCACACGGAAGAAGGAAGAGCTTCAAACTATAATTGACGCCTGCGGCAAGCTGTTTGGAGAAAGGCGCGACAAGCATACGACTGAGATCGAGGCACTCACCCACGCGACGGAGCTACTTCAAAGTGAAGTGTGTGACAAGGCCAAGGAGCTCAAGGTCATGTATGACGCGCACGATGCTCTGGTCAAGAAACTCGACGACGGGAGGGCGGAGTTACTAAAGAAGCTGGCCGACGCTGCGAAGCATGCGCTCGCTCTCCAGCCCAACGCAAAGCCATCCATCGAGGCTGTTGCTGCCAAAGCCGCTGGGTCAGTACGCAATACCCCTCACCACTTACATGGCTAACTCTGTGTAGATCCGTTCCTGCGCACCTCAAAGGCAAATCTGAACGCTTGGCACACTGCACCCAGTGCATGCGCCACAACTGGGAATGCGATGGCGGAGCCCGATGCAAGAACTGTTCGATGCGAGGTATCACAAAAGGCTGCAAGCGAGTCATGTGCAGGCACTACAACAAAGGCATGTGCAAGAACGAGAATTGCCGCTTCGCACACGCAGGAGATGGATATAAGGTTATCGTATCGTATGAAGCTGTATGGGGTGACGGGCGCGAGTTGAGTCCAGTCGAGCTTCACAAGAAGGGGCACAAGGGAGGATGGAAGGCGACGTGGTCTTGAACGAAGGGGCTTGAACGAAGCGCCGGAAGTGTCTTTCAGGCGACACGGTATTGAGACTACATGACTCTGAGTATTGCGATGTCCCTCATTTAATAAAGAGTACCTTTTGCGTATGTAGTAGTTATGTAATTCAGGAGTCATAAGTAGCTCGTCTCGCTCTACGTCATCGCAGTACTATAGATAGGATAGAAGGGAACTAGAATATTAAATTGCACACCGCAGTAAGTTAACAGTTAAGAAATATATAATGCTTAGCGTCTTTGTTGCTTTTACAACTTATACTATAGCCGCTAACATTCTCTTTATTAACGTTGCAGGCGTTAAGTACAGCCTCTAAGGAACGCCTATACCTATTGACAACATCTTAGCTACTTACACCCCTCTTAATTTACCTAGTATTAATAAGGTAGCTAGCGTCTTGCGAGCTAACTTTCCTGCCCTACTTGTTAGCTCTATTATTACCCTACCTATTATTCCTGTTATCGCTCTGCCTACTACCCTGCCTATTAGTTAAGATGCTGTCTATTAGCAAGAGAACAGCATGTGCCTCTTCTAGGCGCAAGGTATATAGAGGTACTATTAACCTAGAATCTAGCTAACTATGTAGGCAAGACTTGTGCAGTATAACTATAGGTAGACTCTAAGAGATAGGTAATAGATAATCTACTTTACTGTCTCTTATAAGCTAGCTTTACGCTAACACTATAGAAGACTAGGTACCTTAAGAGTACTCTATTCTAGCTTAACATGCAACAGATACGCGTTAACAACATTATTCGCAGCTACAGCTTAAAGGTATAGACAAGAGTAGAGTAAAGGTTTAGAGATAGCAGTAGCTATTAAGCAATAGGATCTATGTTTAGGCAAATGTATGTCTTGTGTGTCTTATGTGGGCCGAACGCGAAGGAACGACCTTGAGACTACATGATATGATTTGTGCTTAGTTACATGACAGGAAAGTTGGCTCTGGAGGCGACAAGTGAGTTTTCGGTTGATGGACATGATCCTGCGCATGAGTTGTCACGTCCTAGGTTATCATTGCAACCTACATTTAGCGAGGTTGGCAACAATGTATACAAGTATATCTAGGGAGTCAATGCTCTCGGTTCTACAGCAAAGAGCTTGTTGAACATGTTCTGTGGGTCGTACTTCGCCTTCAGATCTTGCAAACGTTCGTAGTTGTTGCCAAAGACGTCCCTGGACTTCTCTTCGTACTCTATTTGGGCGTTAGCATACCGTTGCATGACAACACATTTCCCGTGTTCGCATTATATGAGTGAGGAGTGCACGCTTTGGAGAGTGCTTACGGTCGTAGTTCCCATACACCATTGTCGCACCATGACTGCCTCTCTTACCGATCCACCCATCGTTGCTCGCCGCTGCCTCAGCGCCGCCACGTTGAAGTTCATTCTTGAACAGGAGCGCAACATCCCTCGACCACTGCCTACACTTCTGATCGTTCTCCTGATCCCACCACAAAGGCGCAACAGCCGCATTGAAGTGCCGTCCGCGGTTCGCAAATGCCATGTCAGAGTTGGTGACTTCAACAATCTTCGTCGGGTCTAGTAGCTCCCACATAACCTGGGAGCCGACTGCATCGGATGTCTGGTCAGTAAACTTGGCATATGCCTCCAAGACGGATACCACGAAGTCGCCACGGACAGGAAGCTCGAAGCCAGCTCCCTTGATAGAGACGCGCGCGCCGATGGGTAGATCCATGAGTTTGTTTGCCTTGGCGTAGGGCATCATTGCCATGGTACTCATCAAAGGTTCTAACCCAACGATATCCTTGAATAGCTCTTTGCCGTCTTCTTCCGATCCATGATAGACCGCGGCTACGAAGAACAGAACCTGACCACCAGCAGGTGGAGGCCTGACAAAACCAAAAGCACTCGCAGCTTTCCCCGTCGCTTTTGAGTTGCCGTCTGCATCCGGGGTGAAGATATCGTTGCATGCTTCCACGGCTTTTTTGATGATCTCTGGCGTTGGTGGAAACATCATGAAGCCAGCCCACAAATCGCCTGTCTCATGGGTGCGGAATACAAACTCAACGCCAACACCAAAGTTCTGTCCCGCGCCGCGCAGAGCCCAGAACAGGCCTGGGTTCTCATCGTTAGAAGCTCTGACGATACTGCCGTCCGCCAATACGACGGTACATGAAATGAGATTGTCGACAACCAGTCCGTGTTTGACTGTGAGCCAGCCGAAGCCGCCGCCGAACGTGAGACCACCGACGCCGGTATCTGAGACGGTGCCACCGACTGCTGCAAGACCGTACGGCGCAAGAGCTTCGTCAACATCACCCCAGACGGCACCTCCGCCGACTTTGATCGTTCTTCCCTCAACGTCGACATCGGTAGTGCGCATGTGTGTATTCAAGTCGACGAGTAGTCCGCCGTCCGTTGATGACGCGCCAGCAGTCGAGTGTCCACCTCCCTTGACGGCGAGATCAAGATTGTGTTCGGTAGCATACTTGAGGGTGATTGAGATTGCTTCTGCCGATTTTGGGATTAGGCATGCTCCCGCTGGCTTCACAGCAGCGCTTGACCATCGGTGAATGGATTTCGTGTATGCCTCAGTTTCCTTCGGTGTGACCAATTGGGCGTCTATATCTCTCAGCAGTTCGCGAAGTTCCGCGATGTCTGCTTCGTTGATCGGGTGTTTGGTAGCCATCGCGCAGAGAGTAGTATAGTGATGAGTAAAAGGGACGAGGGACAAATGTTATGACGGATATTTGTATATGTAGGGCTTCGAGCGCTTGCTCAAACCTTGAGTGGACGAAGACGTTACAAAGCGGGTTCTATATTGGGGCGTAAGCTTACCACGCTGTCGACCGTCAGCAACGTAAGAACATGGCGAATAGCCGTCACTGATAGCTCGGCAGAGGTAAGGCATACCATCGCCGGCCGTGTTTACAGGGAGCTCGACTTGATAACTGATATCGGATGGACCGTTCATTGGAGACGCCATGCAGTTTTCCGACACGCCAATGGCGATCAGCTCGACCACACGTACACTACAGCCCATGAAGTCCAAATCCTGTGCCCGGTTTTGCATAGTGTCTCCAGGCTCTCGTCAAGATCTATCGTCGTCTTTGTTCTGGGCCTGGCATGGACGCCAGATATGTAAGCTGGTCAAGCGCGTGGCGCTCGAATCTTGAATAGCTGCTGCAGTCGTGATGGACAGTGTCCAGGTGAACAGTCGCATGCTGACGGCCCAGGATAATGCGACATGGTCAAACAGACGTCTTGGCCTCCTAACCCGTGATGAAGTGCTGTCCGTAGGCCCTGGGTATGGCTGCATCAAACATGGAGTCGGTGTTGCGTTTCCGGTAACTCAACCAGAAAACCATAATCTGGAAGTCGACGGATGAGGAGGAGGGCGAGACAATCGGTTTGAAGAGGGTGCGCACGAAGACCGCGGTTGGTACCACGAAGTTGTCGCGATGGACAGTGGCCGTCGAGATGACGCGCACAGGGGGGTGGGGAAAGGGATCGGCAAACCTACCTATGTAGTCAGCCTTGGCAGTCGCGTCGCGTGCGGCAAGCTTCTTCTCACGTCCGACGTTCTGTCCCATCTTGCATCCCTTCTATTTAATCAGACAACGTGCCTTCGCTCTCAATTTTCGCTATGTATCATGACTCCTGGATTCCCTGACTGGCGGCACGCGAATAAACGCAATGCTCATGACGTCATGCTGTCAGCGCACGCGAAGTCTGCCTCAAAGGCTGCACAAATCATGAACGATATCGCACGCGGTCGAAGTATCATGGCGAAGATGTAGTATTGCGCAGCTCTTTGACTGTGCGCATGCATGTCATCTTGCGACATCGCGTTACGCGCTCAAAATCGCGTTGCGAGCCACGTCGGAGAGGATGCGATTCTCCCATCTCCCAGGTGCTTCACACATCTTGATGGCGGCGAGGAAGAAGGCTTGATTAGCCCCAGGTAGTATATTCTTGCACTTCGACCCTCGGAAAACAAGGCTTTTCTTCGTATAGCCTTCCAGACGCCGAAGACGTCGTAATGGTTGCGGTACAGTCGAGGTGATGCCGGCCTACTGCATTGCACAGCGCCGCGCACGCAGGTTAGGTACAATCTCACAACGCTCTTGTTCTGCCCGTCTATTCATCATGTTTCTTTCCGACAGATCCTGCTTGCGACTGCAAAGCTTGAAGTGGTTGGGATTTTTGCATTCGTCTCAGAGAGGATGGCGAGTGGTGTCTAAAATTTCGAGATGTCCAGACAAATACTTCATCTGCGGAGATCACTTTCATGTTACCGTACGTTGGATTTCATGTTCAGGAGATGGTGTCATTGTGAATATTGCACCTGGGCAGCATCTTCTCTCCTACCCAAGGTCACATGGTCGGCTTTGCGAGGTCGTCATCGCCGCCAATATCGTGCTACCTTCACCAGAACAGCTTTGCCTCGTTTACCATTACTGCACGCTTACCTGGCTTGCATTTGTAACTCAGATCCTCGACTGCAAGCTGAGTTGTATGATCTGCTGCCCTCCGCGAGTCGCAATCTTGAACATTGTGCGCCGCCTAAATCCTCTGTCACCTACTATTTTTCAACCACAGGACTGACCCATCGCTTCCGCGCACAACAACAACAACCACCACCACCACCGATTTTCTCATTTTTGGTACCCCAACCTCGACCACAGAATTTTTTCGCGACTCGACAGCGCAGCACATCTACAGCCGACCTCTGCCAATTACAAGGAGAAGCCATCTTTAAGCAGCGCAGTCGCCTTCACCTTCACTGGACGCATTCAGTCCGACGCTCACTTCGACTTTCGCAACAAGATCGCGACTAGCGCCAAAATACCACCTCTACTCGCACTTTCCTGCACTGTTTACCTACGTCTCACCTCACCCTTTGTCTACTCACCACAACACTATCCCTCGATATCATCGCATCAGTCACACATTGCTACCCCGCGCGTTGACCGTGCATTTTCAATTCATACCGATTACCCGCACCCGAATCGCTCTTACTGTCATGGCGCCCTCGGTTCTCACCTCCCAAGGGAGCCCGTCGATCCCCGTACCCGCAAAGCCACCACAACCCACTCCAGAAACGTCCCAGGAGGCTACTTTGCCCACGGTCTCACTTTCCGAAGAAAACATCGCCCTTAAGCAGCGCCTTGCTCAGTCTGAACTAGCCAAGAAGCACCTTGTCGAACAAGTCGCAGATGGGGAGCAAAGAGTCAGGGATGCTGCGAAGCGTGCCACCGCTGCCGAGACCGAGACGAAAGCAGCAAAGGCACGCGCCCAAAACCGCTATACAGAGAAGGTGCACGCCAATAACGAGAACCGTCACCTGAAGACAGAGATCGATAGGAAGGAAAAAGAGCGTGCGGACTTCTTTGTTGGTGTTAAGAGCATTCTTCAGGGTCGCGACGAGATGATAGCTAAGCGCGACGAGATGATAGCTAAGCGCGACGAGACGATAGCTAAGCTCGAGAAAGAAAAGGCTAGTGGAGAATGGTCCAAAGAACTCACGGAAAAGCTCACAAAGCAGGTAGATGTCTTTGAACAGGCCTACCTCGCATCTCAACGTGATATAGAGAAGGAGAAACGTGAGAAAGAGGAGGATAAAAAGGTGTCTGATAAGATCATTGGCCAGCTCAAATCCGACAGAGACACGCAGGGCAACGTCAACAAGAACCTGAAAAGCGTGATCGCACAATTGCAACAAGACATCGCCACGGAAAAAGAGAAATCGAAAGCCGCAGCCGCAGCGCCGACCATGGACCAGGCTCGCATCGCTGCTGCCAAGGCTGATGGGTTCAAAGAAGCCACCATAGCAAAGCAGAGGAAGAACGCTGAGTACCGAAAGACAATAGAAGAAAAGGCGACCGCACATGTCGCATGGATGAAGAAGGACATCGAGACGAAAGCGCAAGAGCACGTACAGAAGAAAGAGACTGAATGGCGTTCAGAGCAGACTAGTCTCAAACAGAAGGCTTCTGCAGCTGAAGCTGCGCTGAGTGCTGCCAAAAAGCAGCTTGCTATTGCCCAGCAACAACCACTAGCAGCACCAGCAGCATCGCGCCCTCTACTAAACGATGCTCAGAGGCTTCCCAAACGGAGCCAGCCGACTTCTTCACAGGGCGCGTTGGAATCTAACAAGCGAAGGAGGCTTAACGAAGCTGGGTAAGTTCTACATCGTTTCTATGGATGAAGCTATTGCTAATACCGACAGTGCTTCCGGTATCACTACACCAGACTTCAAGCGTACGCACTCGAACTCGCTTCCCTCCGATACCAATGCCATGAGTCCTTTATCAACCGGATGGCCGAACGGCGATACTATCATGGGCGACACACAAATGCGGAGGCAAGCTCGACATGTCGCACCGAATGGCATGCATGGACGAAGCTCGTCACAGCAGTCAACTGGCTCAGCAGGGCAGATGGCACCCGCCCGACGTCCTTCGCAACAGCCTGGTGCCATGATGGCCGCCCCTCCAGGACGCACATCCGGCAACATGTCACCCCAGCAGCAGCGACACTTGATGCAGAGCTTGGCTGCGGGTAACGCCGGCAGTCAATCACCTAGATTTCCTCAACATAACTTAGGCCTGATGCGCACATCTCCGCAGGTCGGTCGACAGATGGGAAGTGGTCAGCATATGACCAACCAGACCGGAAACATGAACTCGTACGACGGGGACTTGTTTCAACAGATGCAGCGGTCCGCTCAGTCGCAAATACAGTCACAGATGTCGACACCGGCGCAAGGGTCTATGAGACGTACACCTTCGTACGGCTCAGCTTCTTCTGTGGCCCCGCCTCAACCTCACGTCACGCAACACTCTTCGAACCAATCTGCACCCGTCACTGGGCAAAACTGGAATATGAGGCAGAACTTTGAGCAACAGAACATATCGACAAATGGTACGAGCCAGGAAGTAATGGGGAACTACACTCCCACTATGGAACAGTTGGATGCGAATTTTGCCTTCGACGTTGACGCACTGCTGGGAGATGGTGGTTCTCAGCAAAACCTCGGAGACACATTCGAGTGCAGCGATTGGTTTCCCACAGAAGACAATACTGCTCAGACGAACTTCAACTCGACTCTCCCTTCGAACGGAACGCCTCCGATGACCCAAGCCGACTTCCAGCAGCCTCAACAACGCAGCTACCAACCACATTCCCGCAATCACTCACAACAGTACGAGGGTGGTTCAAGAGACATGTCTAACGGGCCCGGGAGCTTCCAGAATGAGCCCGCCACGAACATGAGCAGGAACGGTTCACGCCAGCCTTCTGTTTCGGGACGAGCGACTCGAGCTTCTTCCCGCTCAACACCTGGACCGTCTGGACCTTCTGGACGATCGAGACGCAAGACGCCAGGTCCGGCGGAGCCGACTCGAGTCCCATGTGTGAACTGCTACCGTCACTGGTGGGAAGGCGAATGCGACGAAGGCCAGCCATGCGCAAACTGTGTTGCATCAGGAACAAAATGTGTGCGGCAGAAATGCATCAACTATGCTGCCGGCACTTGCGACAAGGGCAACAAGTGTCCAAACGTACACGAAGGAGACGAGCGTTACCAGAACGAGGAGTTCCTTGTAGCCCAGACCAAGGCGGGCAAGCGGCCTTCACGTTTGGGTACGAGGGCGGAAGCGAAGCCGGCGCCGACCCAGGATTAGTATGCTTGGTTTTAAGCTTCTTGATCTGCCTTGACGGTTAAGATGCTTGCTTGCAACTCCGCATGGTTGTTGCATTTTGGCGGCATTGAAGGGAGTTGGTTATCTTTGTTTGGATTGAGTTTGCTATCCTTGGTATTTTCCCCTCCACCCTGGCTTGACAGTCCTATTGAGTTCCAGCCGCCTGAAAGGGCAGGCTCTCGTAGGGCTGAACATAGCCGGGTGGGGGTGGATGTCATGGCCTTGGATCGCTCACAGCGTTGTGTTTGTTTTATTGTTTATTTTGCGCAACTCACTGAGGGTGCTCTCACGGTGGTTGGAAACTGTACCATACAGCGAATCTGTAGTATCATAGGACCTCGATGATGCATCTTATCCTGTGCACTTCGAATGCTTTACTACTCTTTAACATGCAGTCTCGCGCTTGTGGTAAAAGAGAAAGTCTTCGAGACCATGTCTTTTAAGTCAATATCCTCATGGACTGCAGTGTGGGAGTCATCTCCAGATTGTAATCGAATCTGGCGGTGGCAGCCGCGGTATCGACTGTAGCAATATCATCGCAAGCGTGCCAGATGTCGAGATGTTATACACTGAGGTTTGCGCGTCGCGCGCGGGGCTTCGAGATAATCATCTACGCCGGTGGCGGACGTGCGCTATTCCAAACTCGGTCTAGCTTATCAGAAATTCAGGGTTTTCAAGCTTCACCCCACATCATCCACGAACCAAGCTCCACTTGGCTATAGCTTGCATGTCTTACTCGCGCCTCTTTCCACTCTTTCCAATCACCGGCACTTGTTTGCATGCGGAGTATCCATCGCGACCGCGATCCTTCCGACATTCCGCGCCGTTAGAGGCCTAGGCTCGTGGTGCACCTTCACCCCATGCACTGCTAGGAGGTTATCTCCGACCATGACGAATCGCCAGGGTACGCTAAGCGACTACTTACCCGGCTGAAAAAGCTTTAAGTCGCGCAATGTTGGACTCTGAATCTTTTGCGTTCCTTTAGACGTTACGTCCATTTCATTTCACATTTATGGCTTCGAACGAGCCAGGCCTTGCGCCTCTCAGTGCGCCGGCTGAGGACCCTATCAAGGGAGCTGTCGGCGTACCCGTCGATACAGACACTCCCGTTGCACCGGACCAGTTCGACGAACGTTACGAGACATCGAAGTGGGAGATCTGGTCGTATTACTGGTATGCAAACTATTCCAGCGCGGGGACTCATTTGGAGCGCAGTACGTCGACTGTGCTGAGGCTGACATTCCATTTTCGAACAGCTACTACGTCGGAGACAATGGTCTCACTCTTTTCAACTTCGGTCCGACGGCTTTCCAAAACCTCATGTATGAAGCTGCAGGAGACTCCGAGGTGCTGTACTTCATGGGCCGAGACCGTACCATCAACTCCATCGTGCTTCTTTGCAACGGCATCAGTTTCGCCATCCAGGTCCTCGTTTTTCTGATCCTCGGTTCTTTCGCCGATTTTGGTACATGGCGCCCCAACATCCTGATAGGCCTGTCCGTCATTGCTTTCGGAATTGGCTTTGGCTGGTTAGGCGTTCATACCGAGGATAAATGGCACGCCGGTGTGGGTCTTTATATCGTCGGCCTTATCGCATACCAAACGACAATCACATTCTGGACGGCTGCCTTCCCTGGGCTGGCAAGGAACACCAAGGAATTGCGAGTCAAGGCCGAAGAGTTCGCCGATGGAACGATTACCCGCGCAGAGTACGATTTTGCCGATATGATGAAGCGAAATGAGCTCTCTAACACGGCGTTCTATGTTCAATCCGTGTTTGAGATCCTTATCCTGGCTGTTATCGTGGGCATCATGTTCGGTCTGCACGTTAATGACAGCGCGGAGAATAACAACTGGGGTCTTTCAGTACTAATCGCCTTTGCTACCGGAGTTTGGATCCTATGCGCTCTTCCATGGTTTATCCTCGAGAAGAGGCGGCCAGGTCAGGACCCAGGACGCGCGAACATAGTCCTAGCAGGCCTCAAACAGCTCGGCTACGCGATGCGCCAGATCTGGCAACTGCGCCAAAGTCTGGCTTATCTGGCAGGTTACTTCCTGCTCGGCGACAGTCTCAACACAACCGTGACGGTTATTGGAACCCTGCAGAACGAGATTGTTGCATACAACAGTCTGCAGCTTACCTACCTGCTCATCGTCGGTATCGCTGCCCAGGCAGTTGGCATCGGCGCCTTTTGGCGCATCCAAAAATACTACGGTCTATCGACCAAGACTATGTTCATGGTCGTCGCCATATGCATCGTTCTGCTCGACGGCTGGGGCATGATCGGCATCTGGACGCAACGCTTCGGTTTCCATAACAAGTGGGAGGTTTGGGTATACCAGGCCTTCTATGGACTGCTTGTCTGCCCGTGGTACAGCTATTCGCAGACTATGATCTCCGAGGTTACACCGAGAGGGAAGGAGTTTCTTTTCTTCAGCTTGTTCTCGATCGTGGGAAAGACGAGTGCTTTCATCGGACCACTGGTCAGCTCTGCCATTATCGATGATACTGGCAACAACAGCAGCCCATTCTACTTCTTGTTCGCGTTGAGCTTGGTTAGCTGCGCCTGGCTTTTCTTCTTCGTAGATGTCGAGAAGAGTAGGATTGAGCAGGAGACGTTCTTGGAGAGGGAGAAGAACACTAAGATCCACAATGAGGATGCTGAGAGTCTTAGCTGATCGTCTAGTAACAATTTGAATTACCTCATTCTCGAAGAGAGTAGTTAGTTCGACCACTTTGTGTAGGCTGTTCAACAGACCCTAATGATCATAACTAGCCGCGCAATGTTTCTCTACATGCAAATTCGGCTAAACAAGACATTCGCAAGTAAGAGAACGGAAACACACCGCTGTACCGTTGCGCATCATCGTGTGCTCACATTCTTGTTCACGCGGAGCTTGAAATCACGTTCACAATGCCCGTGTCTCAAGCTCACAACTGTCTGAAACCCGATCATATTTCCCGAAGTTCTAGCTATCCCCATCGTATCACATTGGTTCACCCAATAATTCGACGATCCAGTCTTGCCAGCCATCGACAGCATCAAGACCGAGCACACCACACAGCATCTGAACAACTACAGGCAAACAGACATGACATTAACCTCGTGGCTAACAAGCTCCCCCTCAGCCCCCACCGATACCACCGACCCCACCAGCTTCACCTCTCTCGTCAACAAAATGAACCTCGCTGCCATAAAAGCCGACGCCGAAAACAGCTACAAAGAAAAGTACCTACGACTCCGCAAGCAAATCGAGTCAGACACCGTTCACAACGATCTTCGCGCTGAGATCGCCTCTCTCTTAGCCAACAAGACTGAATACGAGAGCAAGCTCCGCAACACTGAAAAGGCGAAAACGAGCGCAGATATGCAAGTTGTTGCCCTAGACCTTGTGATTAAGGATACGAATGTGTACTACAAGTCTAAGCTGGAGGGTGCAGAAGCGCAGAACAAGGCGCTTGAGGGGGAGAATAAGAGGCTGAGGAAAAATGAGCAGGACATGAGATACTTGCTTCTCTCCCATGGGATCCGTGTACCAGCGCAGGATGCCACGAATGAAGACCGTCAAACTACGGAATCGGAGTCTGCGCCCGAGCTAACGGACGATAGCGATATGGACGAAGCGGGTGAGCTTGCTCTTGATACGCTGGCTATGGGTTCAGGGGAAGTTTGCCCGCAGTGGTATAATCATGGGACGTGTAGTCGGAGTGGTGGTGATGCACGCGGTGCGTGTGAGCTTGGTGTGCATCCACACCTTATTGGATTTGGTACACGCGTGAAAGAGTAGAGGTGCATTTAGCAATGTATTTGGTAGGGTTACTAGCAATTATCCGATAAAGAATCTTTTAAGGGATGATGAATTCGGTGCTACCACCTCATCTTTGCTATCTACTGTCTGATACGCAACTAATCTTCCGAGGAGCGTCTCCAACATCTAGCAAGGAATATAAATCGTACAATAAGAAGTCGACACGCTCACAGTCCCAGAATCAATGTTACTAGTAACCACACCTTGAGTATCCGCCCCGTTGTACGTAATAGTGCAGATCTCGAAGTGGTTGCTGGCGCTATTATACGCGGTATGGAACGTGACATCGCCCTGGGTGTGGCAGTCTGCTCCCGATACGGTGTTGGTAGCGCCGTTGAAGTTGTTCACGTTGGCGTCGGTGTTGTAGTAGACTCGGTTGTTGTTGACGTCGTAGCAGTAGATTGCTCCGCTGGTCATGTCGATAGGGACTTGGCCGGGGCCGCCGCCGCCGTAGGAGTGCGAGGCTTCGGCTTCGACTTTGCAGCGGGTTACGCCGTCGTCTTGGCGGAGCTAAGTGATGAGTTAGTTGAAGAGCTGTGAAAGGATTCGTTTTCGTTTTGAGTGGGGCTTGCTTACTGCGAGGTTGTTGGTGGGCGCAGCCATCGTGGTAGTGATGGTGGTTGCGAGTACCATCGCAAGGGAGTTTACTGTGAACCTGGGTTCGAGTAAGCGATGTGTGCAATGTGGGCTTTGCGTGGACAACATACTGCATGATGGCGATTTTCGTGGGTTGGTTTGTCGTAGCTGAGATACTCGATCGCGTGATTGTATTGGAAAGTGATGCGATGTTGCTGTGAGATGCTTCATCCCTTCGCGGTCGAGCACCTCCTTTTATAGATGGCCTCGAAGCCAGCATTGCTCAAAATCGTCGATCGATCCGAACTGTCCATACCATATTATGCCACCTACGTCTTCTGTCTCCGCGAATCCCACAGTCCCCATAAAATGCAGCATACGTGATCTGCACGGACTGAGCTTCTCCGTCGAGAGATCAAGTAGAAGTGTCACGCCGTCAGCCTTGCGGGTCCAATGAGCATTGCCCTTTACAAAAGACGTGTATCAATGAAGCCTGAAATGGAAGGTACGAAAGGTTCAACTCGTCAGAGTGTACTTGATGTAGTAACGGGCAGAGAGATCTACATCTAGTGACATACTCCATCCTGCAAGGCCACCTGCTACAACCTGGGATCGCCAGCCGTTCTAATGTACCACTCAGGTATCCAGTATAGCACGTGGTCGTCCACTCAACCCAATGCTTGGTCCGAGTTCAGTTTCGTCAGTAGTGGCCAGTGTGGTGCGGCCCATGTACACTGTGTTGATTATGATAGTCTTGTTGGGAAAGCAACAAGCATCTCAGGAGCAACACAAGCTTTCTAGACCAAGAAATTCAGTACAGTCCGTTGCCTGATTGGTCTGCTTCGAACGTTCCCTTCCCGGCATTGGTCCCGCGAGTATACCTAGGTACGGTCGTATAGAAGGGATCACCCGCTATTGCTGTTAGTATGCAGAAGATGGCTGCATCCGACGCTAACATGCAGTCCTACACCCTCTAGAGAGTTGTGGGTATGAGAAGGATCGCCGTTTGGAAAGGCGGCGTGCATGTCCGCGGCATAGCCTCTTGTACCTAAGTAGTTTTGACTTTTCTATCGTAGCCTGGAACGTAGTGCACGTACCTAGGTAGCTTTACGTTTGGCGAATGAAGTGACTTAGATACATAGACAAACATACCTGTAGCGCGCACTACTAGAGAGTTAATAGGCCTGTAAAAGCTGTATTTGTAGTAATAAGTTATTAAAGGTATATTATCTAAACTTTAGATATTAAAAAGCTATTACTACTAATAGCGTAACTTAAAATAATAGCTACTAAATTAACTAATAAGTATTATTAAAAGTTATTTCTAAAGTAGCTATTATTAAAGATACTTTTAAATTAGCTATTTAATATAAAAGAAGTTACTTTTAACTACTTTTAAAGTAAATTCTAGTAAAGTATACTAAGAATTAAATATATATAGTTTTTACTTAAGTAAATATTTTATATATTTTACTATAAGTATTATTAAGCTAAAATCTAAATCTTAAGTAGTAATACTTATAGCTTAAAGAGCTACTAATTCTAAAAAGGTAAAAACTATTACTAGTACTCTAAAAAATATATAACTAAAAGTTTTACTTACTCTTAAAAGTATAGTATTAAGTAAGCTAAGACTTAAAGCTTTAGCGCTACTACCTCTAAAGTAGTTAAAGCTTTTAAATCTTTTAAGCTTATAAAGTAGCTATTTTAATACTAAATACTTTATAAAAAAACTTTATAAGAGAATTATAATATAATTATATATACTTATTAGCTTATAACTAATAAAGTAATATATTTTAAAGCTTTATAGTTAAAATATATATACTAAAATCTCTCTTAGTAAAGCGCGCTTTATTTATTTCTTAAATTTTTATAACTTTTAGTACTTTAAAGATATATTAATATATAAGTAGCTTAAATCTAACTTTAAAAGCTATACTAATATATAATTCTATAATTTATAAGTTTTTTAGGTAATTATAAGTATAAAACTAATCTTTTACTAGTTATATTACTTTACTTACTAGAGCTCTACTTAGTTACTTTATTATTACTATATTAATTACTTTTCTTATTACTATTACTTACTAAAGCTTCTATAGGTAGCTCTAAGTCTATTAAAGTTATAGTTCTAAAAGGTATTTTAGTAGCTATTATATAAAAAGTTATTTATTTAATATTTAAGGCCTACTCTACTAACACTATTAAAGCTTCTATTATAGCTCTTATAGCTCTTATAGCTTTTATAGCTTTTTTAGCTTCTATAGCTTTTATTAATAATTTTATTAATACTATATTATAAATATATTTACTTAGAGTAAAGCTTTTTATTATTCTTTTTACTAGCTTTAATTTTAAGAAACTAGTTATTAATATATATAAGTTCTTTAGTAGAACTAAAGAGATTATTTATCTTAGCTAAGCTACTAACTATTCTCTTACTACTATTTTAGAGAATAAGTTATTATTATTAATTATTTATAATATTTATATCTACTTTTTTATTTCTTATAAAGTAGAGTCTTTACTATTATCTAAAGTAAGGCTAGAGTAAGTAATATAATTAGTTAGATTAAGATAAGGTAATTATAAAGGTTAGTATTTTAGAGCTATAGTAGTAGGTTAACGTAATACTTATGTTAGGTTACTATAGCAGCTAAAGAGTAAGAAATATTAAAACTTTAAATAGCCTAGAAGGTTAGCGTTTTATAAGCTTACTATAGTAAGTAAATATAATATATTACGTTAGCTTACTGCTGTAAGCAAGAGCTAAGAAATATTAAAACTTTAGATAGCACTACTTATAGTAGCAAGCTAATGTAATATAATAAAATAGAAGTAAAAAGGTTAAGATAAAAGTAAATATATTACGCGTAGTGTAAGATGTAATATAATTACTTATATAAGCGAGCGTAAAGACTCTACGCTAGTAGGCTCTAAGATTTACACTTTAAGAATTTAAGGCTACCTCTAGCGTTAGCTAGACGTAGAGTAGCTTTAACTCTGCTAGAAGTTATTTTAGATTTTATACTTAGTAAGGTAAGCTATAGAGCTAGATTTAGAACTATCTACTTTTATAGCTAAGGCTATAAACTTATAGTATAAGGCTTTAATTATAATACTTAGTAATACTAAGAAAAAATAAAATAAAGAGAAGAAAGTGTTTATAACTAGTCTTTTAAGTACTAAAATAACTAAGTAAATATTAGCTATACTAGTAGTCTTTTATAGTAGAAATATCTTTTAAGAAATAGACTATAAAGTAGTTATTACTATATTCTTATTAGCTAGAGAGTTAATATAGTATTATATTATAGTTAATAGAAAATAGATATAGCTAGTCTTATTAGTAGTATACCTATTACTATATATTATATTATTTCTAGTTATAGTATAAACTAAAAAGTTATATAGATAAGTATAGAATTTATTTATAAGTAGAAATAATTATATTACTATAGTAATATATACTAAATTAATATTAAAATTATTTAGTAGTTCTAAAAGAGACTAGCTTAAAGTCTTTTAATATTTTTTAATATCTTTTAATATTATTTTACTATAAAGATAACTAAATTAGACTTAAGATACTATTACTATAAGTATACTTAAAAAGTATAGCGTATTAGTATATACTAGTTTATAGCTACTCTTAATATCTCTTTTATTATTTAGTACTACTATTATAGTAGTAGTAGTATTACTACTATTTTATATTAAGATAAAAGGTACTATCTAAACTTTCTTAATAGGCCTAAAATTTAATATTAATTACTTTTTAATAGCTTTTACTTATATTATAATATTAGAGAGCTATTAAAAGTAATAGCTATTTTAGAAATATTATATTTTATTACTTTATTATAGCTCTATTAACCTCTCTATAGTGCGCGTAATAGATAAGTTAGAAGAAGTAGTAGCTATCTTCTTTAAATATATACACTATTGTCTAATAGAAGATCTAAAGAAATTAAGCACTAAGTAGTCTTTAAGTACATTTCCTAGAGATAGAATAGAGCAAAGTCTAGTTAGAGACTAGATATGTTTTGAAGAGACTAAGAGCATTTCGAGTAAGGAACATAGAACACCGGGATGAATTCCGCGATACATCGGATATGCTTTAGCAAGGCTGTCTTCGGCATTATGTACCCACATATTCGCATAACTATCTCTTTCGAGCCTAGCAGACCTATAATAGCGCCAAACGGGTCGAATCGGATACGGGATACGCAGATCCGATGTATCGGGTACCTTCCAATTGATCACGATTAGGTAGTGATGAGTGACGTACCTCGCTGCTTCGTGGTTGCTTTCATGCCCCCAAGGCCGTGCAATGATGGCGATGGCGCTCCTCCACTAGGTACTCAAGTGCGCCTTACGCGAAGCAGCCAAGCGTCTCGCAACTCCCGAAATGAATATCCACACAATCGTTATAACAGGATAAGCAACATACTTTGTTGAGTAAAGCTTGAGACTCTGAATTGGAAGAAAAAGACGCACACATCCAATCAGGTCCTCTCGAACGAGAACTATCATCAAAACAAGAACTTGACCATACCGTAGCAAGATTTGTGCAAACAGGAAGAACAACATCAATTCAATTCCTCCAATACCAATCATCCCCTACCCATCCACATCCCCTCACGTACACTCCCTAGCAACCTGCCCAAGCACCTTCTCATACTCCACCACACTCTTCGCCCCCACGAGCGTAAAATCCCTCTTCCTCCCCTCAAAAACAACATACGGGACACTATCCACTCCATTCCCAGCCTGCTCCCTTATCGCCGCTTTCGTTTCCCTCAACTCCTCCTCCCTGTCTTCCACCAACTTCACTGCTTCCTCTCCACTAAGTCCAGCTGCCATGCACGCTTTAACCAAAGTCTCCGGACTGGATGGATGGCCGCGCTGCTCAAAGTACTGCGTATACAGCTCCTTCACAGCCTCTAGCGCAGCACCATCTTCTTTGTTCTTCTGCAACCACCACAACACACGATGCGCATGCAACGTATTCGCCACCTTCCCACCCCCGAAATCGAACGTAATACCCTCTTCTTTCCCTAAACCACCCATGACGTTCATGTACTTGCTCATCCGGGCTTCGTCGCCGTCGTACTTTTCGTTCTTGTACCATTCATACTTATCGACGCCTTCTTGGGTAGCGTCGGGGTAGAGTTGGTAAGGGGCGAGTTTGAGGGTGAATGTTGCTGGGGAAGAGGGGTTGGTGGTGCGGTAGTTGTCTAGGGCTTTGTTGAGGCGGATGAAGGCTAGGTATGTCCTGTGGTGCAGTGAGGATAAGGTGAAGGGGGTGGTGTGGGTTGGAGGGTGGGTGGATGTACCAGGGACATATTGTGTCGAGCGTGAAGGTGATTATTGATTCGTAGGGCATGATGAACGTAGCATACAACAGAACTTGGACTTGGTCGCTGTTCGATTCGTACAATTTCGCGGCTTGGGAGAATTACTTTACGACATCCTGGAGATGTTCGCGAGGTTGCAGGGGGCTCCACTGCTCCATGTCTCCGGCACACGTCATGCGGGGTGCGGCGGAAAGATCATCGCCTACTGCACGCTAATCCTCTCGAGCATAGTATGCTAGCAACCCGGAATACGAACAGGAGCTTTGCGACATGGGAATAATCAGATTGAAATGGACGGGACCCAGAATAGGATTGAAGATTAGTCTGAACAATGCAAATACATGTGCTGATCGCTTAAATCTAGCACGGAAGTCTAACGTAAACCCCAAACGATGCTGTAAACGCAACACTGGCAACGCCATGCTTCAACATGTGTGGCCTCGTAACCGCAAAGTGGGAGATGGGGGACTGAACCCCTAATTCAGTTTGACATAGTTCCCTGGAATCTGATCAGTATGTTGCCTCTCCGCGCGAATGAGGATACGTACCTGGGAATTGTCCCTGCTTCCCCCGTACCTTTCCAATCCACCACTCATTATCGTTCTGCGTTCTTGAAACGATTTCTATGACGTCGCCCGTCAGGAAACTTAGGTCACCTTCCGCTTGCGCCTCGTAGTCGTAGAGAGCCGTAACGGTTTCGGTCGCCGGAGCACCGCTGAGACGTGATGGCTTGGGCTTTGGTGGTGGAGGCGCGCCCTTGGCTTTGGCGGCAGAGCCCCACGAACCTGCTGATAGCGCTGGGGACTTGACATCTCCAGTAGCTGCAGAAGGCCCAGCAGAGTAGGGTGGAGGAGGTGTTTCCGTCTCTTCCGATATTGAGCTTCGGCCTGCCTTGGCTTCCAGAGCTTTCGTTGCGTATTTTGACTGGCCTGGACGTGCACCAGCGACACGAGCTCCGCCAGTAGTCTTGAACTTCACGATGGAGATCTTCTCCGCTTCCTCCTGTGTGTCACCACGCTTCTTCTGGTAAGCAGCCTCGATGTCCAGAGTAAGGTCGAAGTAGCCGATGTCGAGCCGTTGCATGCGCTCATGCAGTGTGTAGAAGACGTTCAGTTGCATGTAGTAGAAAGACTGAAATAGAGGCTTGATGAACTCTCTTTCCAGCGTGAACAGCTTCGGTAGCTCGTCCTTTAGCAGATCATTGAAGTAGTTGTAGTCCTGGGTAGCCTGTTCCACGTCGTTCTCGGCCTTGTACATGGCCTTCTCGTCCTTTAGTGTCTTGTCCTTCTTCTCTTCGAGCTTCTTGTATGCGGCGCGATGTCTGTCATAGTCGAGTTGCTTGTGGTCGCGCTTGGCAGCGATCTTTCGTACGGCCTTGATGATGACTAGCAGCTCGTCCGCTGGGCGAATAACCCGGGACTCAATCATCTCAAGTTCGGGCTTGAGCGTTTCCTGCAGTTCCCTGACCACTGTCTCGTACTGTTCGCATGCTTCTATGCCTGCTGTGTTGCCTTCGTCGAGGAATGAATCGGGATCTGACATTCGGCCGGAGATGGGCTTGTAGATTTCGGCGATCGCTTTCGAGAACTCCATCTGATGTGAGAGCATGCCTGCGAAGTGGGTTAGGCGGAATCGCGTGGGACTGCATGTTGTTTACGCACCATTTATGGCTTCGAAGTACCTGTCGCATGTTAGCCAGGGTCGCAACTAGGACTATATCGCAACAGGCGCATACTTCTTGGACTCTTCATGGAGCTTCTTGGTCTCCTTCTCCAGCTCCTGAAAGCGGCGTTCGGCATCGATGTAGATGGGGTCCTTGGTGATTTCACCCTACATGCTGTTAGTAAGGCCCAATCGTACTCGGAAGCAGGCGCATAAAGGAGAGAGCCCCTGGAGGTCTTCGCAGAACACATACGAGGTTGAATCTTTGCTTGAAGGTTTGGGGCGCCTAAACCGTCATGTTAGCACGTGTTGATGCCCGAAGGCCGTGTGAGGTCGCCTGTCGTACCCGGGTGACGGTCTTTGTTAGGCCTTTCCAACTCATGGTGGGGGTAAGTGTGTAAGTCTGCTGGGAATTGATACACAGTAGGGATCAGGAGGCGCCGTGGAGACTGCAGATGTAAGCCAGCAGGAAGCGGCCGAACGATGCGGGCGCCGGCGTGGCTGCTAGAATCGACGATGACGTCGCCTGTGGCTATGCCAGCCAACTGCCCACGGCTGCCGGATGTCGCGGAGCGCCGAGAGCGAAAACGAGCACGAGTGCAATTACTTCACGCCAAGAGTGAATGATCCGCCACTAGTGCACGAGAAACCCAGAGCCAAAAGCTGAAAACAGCGCGCGGTCGCGTGAACGACTATCTCGTCGTGCAGGCAAACAATGAACCATGCATGACGAGTGGACGATGTGGCCGTGAACGCTGGGGGTCTTTTAGTCAGCCGATCCGTGCGCTAAAACTTCATAGCTTCTAATACCTCGGGAGGCAATTTGCCCTCCCAACCCCAACACTCCAATTCTCACCATGTCCAATATTGCACCCACCGTCGCGAGGCAGGCCCTGCGCATTGCCTCTCGTCGATACCCTTCATCTGCTTTTTCCCGTGTCTCGAGCATCCGTCGTCACTATGTCTCAGAGTCCAAGCCCGCGCAGGCGACCGTCTCCAACGCCTCCCCTCTCGACTCAGCCATCAAGAAGGAGCAGCGGAGTTTCCTTAAGGAGACGGGAGAAAGAGCAGAGGATGCAACCATGCCGACAACAGGCATGGGCGCTGATGCCATGATGAGTCCCACTGCTGGTGAGTCTCAGAGTTCACGCCACCCCGCTTTCCGCGAAGCTGACAATTTCAGGCATACTCAAGCAAGCAACCGTCATGGATCAGGGCTCACGGCCGATCTACCTAGACATGCAAGCTACCACCCCAATGGACCCACGAGTAGTAGACAAGATGATGCCATACATGACCGGCATGTACGGTAACCCCCATTCGCGAACCCACGCGTACGGTTGGGAGACCGACAAGGCCGTAGAGGATGCCCGCGCGCACATTGCCAACCTCATTGGTGCAGACCCCAAGGAGATCATCTTCACCAGCGGTGCTACCGAGAGTAACAACATGAGTATCAAGGGCGTAGCTCGCTTCTTTGGGCGTAGCGGCAAGAAGAAGCACATCATCACAGCACAGACCGAGCACAAGTGTGTGCTTGACAGCTGTAGACATTTGCAAGACGAGGGCTTCTCCGTCACTTACCTGCCAGTAGGAAACAATGGCCTGATCGACATGGCACAGCTCGAGGCCGCCATGCGACCCGATACCGCCATTGTCAGTATCATGACTGTCAACAACGAGATTGGTGTTGTGCAACCCGTTGAAGAGATCGGAAAGCTCTGCCGGTCGAAGAAGATCTTCTTCCACACCGACGCGGCGCAGGCTGTCGGCAAGATCCCAATCGACGTCAACAAGATGCATGTCGACTTGATGTCGATATCAGGCCACAAGATCTACGGTCCCAAGGGCGTCGGCGCATGTTACGTACGAAGACGGCCTAGGGTCAGGCTCGACCCCATCATCAGCGGCGGTGGTCAAGAGAGAGGACTGCGAAGTGGCACACTAGCACCTCCTCTTGCCATCGGTATGGGCGAAGCCGCACGGATCTGCAAAGAAGAGATGGAGGTACGTACTCTCTTCCTTTACTATCACGAACACTATGATTATTTGCTTTATACATGCATGGCTTTCAGAGCGTTAGGCGGCTTCGGTCGTCGACGCGCCATGTTGACACATGTGCAGGGGTTATGAGTTCCTTATCACACATTGTTTTGGTCACAACAATTTTCTGTTCGGACAACGCTGACAATGGCTAGTATGACACCAAGCGCATCTCCGCGCTGTCGAACCGCCTTCTCGAAGGCCTCTTATCGCTCGAGCACACCACACTCAACGGCGACAGGGAGCGACACTACCCCGGCTGTGTCAATGTTTCATTCGCCTACGTCGAGGGTGAGTCGCTTCTCATGGCGCTGAAAGACATTGCCCTGTCTTCAGGCAGCGCTTGCACATCGGCGTCGCTCGAACCCAGTTACGTCCTGCGGGCACTTGGCAGCAGTGACGAGAGCGCGCACAGCAGTATCCGCTTCGGTATCGGACGCTACACTACCGACTCAGAGATCGACTACGTCTTGAAGGCGGTCAAGGAGCGCGTCACATTCTTACGCGAGTTGAGCCCGTTGTGGGAACTCGTGCAGGAGGGTGTCGACCTCAACACGATCGAATGGAGCCAGCATTGAGTGAAGTAGTTGTTTGATACCCCGGCGGAACTTGTATAATATAATGACGTACATTCTTTGGCAACAATGCCCACGCTCGCTGTAGCGGTTACGAGAAACACGATTACATAGCAATGTACTATACGCAATAGCTCTACATAATGAAATGTATCGAGCATATACACATACTCTTGACGAATTCATCCATGTGCGACAGGAATGTGATGCATGCGCATATTGTCCAAGTGAAAGTCTGAGCGCCAGCCTACGTACGGCACGGCAACTATGTGTAGCATAGAGGGGCAATTCATTGGGCATTGCCAAGGTGTTGAGGGGTTCATCTTGGGAGAGGTGAGGACCGTGCTCCATTGGCCATCGTCTAACCTGGTGCTATCATCGATCAGTTACAACATGGCCAGCGAGAAAGTACTCAACTGGCTATACAGCGTTCTCGTCAATGTAAACCCGCTCGCGACAATCAATATCGTATGCGCTAATAGGCTTCAGGAATACTCCGACGTAAATCGCACATATCACGACGCGGCCGAGGCACTGTCCAACTGTACGTCACATGCGTCGCAGCTTCACGACAGCTATACTAACTCTACACCAACGTCCAGATCCGTCGCTCTCACCAAAGACCGAACCATACACGTATGAGAATGGCTCCTCAGCGCTTCTCTTGCTTCTCAGCGGCACGCTGCCCGTCACATTTCGCGGCGCAACATACGGCTTCCCGGTAGCGATATGGGTGCCTCAGTCGTACC